TTGGGGCCCCCTTGGGCGGCGGCGGCGGGGCAGTGGCTGCCACCAGGCCCTTCATCTTAAGATCGGTCAGGACGTAAATATGCTGGTTCCAGTTTGATAATATTTGCAGAGCAGGGTGGCTGCAGGCCTGACAGTGACTCTTCCCTGCGTGATCACCCGTGCTGCAGTGTCACACGGGGCTGGAAGGGATCCTGGGGCACCAAGCTCTGCTTCCTGTTGTCCTGGGTAACTGTCTGTATCAGAAACTAGAGGAGAAGGCGCAGGGAAGCGCGCTGCAGAGCTGCTTCCGCGGTGCTACTGGGGTGGAGGGTGCAAGGACAGGACTGGGAAGCGCCTCTGCGTGTTTCACTCCTCAGGATTACTGTCGTGTTTTCGTGTGTGCCAAAAAAATTCAATCTGATTGAAACTGTATCAAACGAAATCAACATCCTTCAAGAAATGAACGAGAAAGAAACGAACCAGATTTTTAACCTCGTGCTGTGAATCTTAATTCCCCGTGATTTGTGTCATCTGCTTATGGATGTCTCCTTTCGCAACAGGATTTACCAAGAAGGCTCGGAGGCCAGTGCCGCCGTAGTGGCCGTCGAAACCCACACCATCCACAAGCTAGAAGAAGGGATCGGTGAGTTCCCGCTTGGCATGGGCAGAATCCCCTCCTCTGCAGGGCTGGTTGGCGCTGGGCTGGTGTCTCCAGTCCGCTGGGCTTCCTTCTGGCTCTGCCCCTGCAGATGCTGTGTCCCAGGCATGGATGTGGGTGCAGGGTCTGGGCGTACTCTGGAATAAGAGTCTGCTGTTATTTCTTGGTCTCAAAGTCCTGGAACTGAGAGCCTGGTTCTCCTGCAGTGAATGGTAAGGGCTCCCATGGGGTCCAGGGGAGCCAAGGTTTCTCCTTAGTCACTACCAGGCAGGAATGGTTGTAAGGATGGCGGCTGCGCTGGCTGAGGTGCGAGTCTCTGCTTGCTGGTTCTTTGCTGAACGAGCAGCCTGGGCTGGATGTTTGGGAGAACCGAGCGGGTTGGCTCCTGAGCACTCCCTGCTATCCTGAAGAGTATGTGGGAAAAGGCTCCTGTCGTGAGGTGCTGTCACTAGATCCTGATAAGCATTCTGCTTCCCGTGTGGGTGTGGGTCTTTTGGCAGTATTAGCAGGGACTCTGTGTGTGAAGAGAATATATTATCAGTAAATATCTGATATCGCTGCTAAGGAGATAGCAGAGCACCAAGAAATCTGAGAGATATCTGTGCTTCAAATGTTAAAAGCATTTTGTTTTCAGAAAGATGGTTCTCACTGACATCTCTCCTCCTTGCAGATGTGGTGGATTTCCAATCCCGTGTTCTCCTGATAGATGAGCTTCACCTTGAGTGTTGCTATATTAGAAAGCAGATGCCGGTTGCTGTTAGAATTAGTAGTTGGAGAAGCCTAAGAAAGGCTGATCCCAAACTGGGAGTGGCCTTTTTTTTTTGTTTCCTGAGTCTAGGTCTCACAACATGTGAGCTTTAGGCTCCCGCCTTGTGGGATTTGAACTTCTTGGGTGGAAAGTGTCATTTTTACCCCTTCCTCCCTCAGACCCCAGCACCATTGAGACAAACGAGGAAATCGAGATCGCCTATCCCATCACCTGTGGGGAGAGCAAAGCCATCCTGCTCTGGAAGAAGTTTGTCTGTCCCGGAATTAATGTCAAGTGTGTCAAGGTAAGGGAGTTTTCTCAGCGGGTTCCTTCTCTGCTCTAAAGGTCTGGTGCTTGGCCTACACATTTTGCATTTCATCTGAGCCTTATCCTGGAGCCGAGGGACTTTGCCGTTGCAGCAGGCTGGATTGTTAGTGCTAAAGTTGTTTTTAGCATGGGGAGGAGCAGGGGAAGAGTGGGTTAAGGAGTGAAGACCTATCACCCACCTTATATTTCAGTGCTGCTCTTGATGACTGATTAAAGCAGAGTCATATTTGGCACTTTACGAGGGCCTTGGAGCTGTAGGCAGGCAGGGGATGCGCACTGAGATCTGCCAGAGCTTTTCTTCCTTGTCTTTCCCTTGGTGCCCTGATGCTCCACCCCTGTCACTTCCTCGTGGAGCTGGTTGCACGGAGAAGAGTAATCTCACTGTTATGTTTTTCCACTTGAGAGTGTGCTAACCTAACAGCCGACGCGCTGAGGCTGTCCCCGTGCGCTGCTGCGGCACGAGGGCTCAGTTGCTGCCCCTCTGCAGGAACTATCTTAGTCACCAGAGCAGGACAGAACAGATGCCCAAGTGAATACCTGTGTCAGCGAGATGTTGCTTGTCTGTTTGATGTAACAGGAGTCTCCTGTAATGATCTCCGAGATGACTGTACGTGTTCACAGAAGGAGCTAATTTGGTTCATGCTTTGTAGGAAAGCCCTCAGGGCTGTTCCTGGCTAGAGCTGTGGGGTTCCAATGCCAGGTCATCCCTTCAAATGTATCCGTTCTGGAGTTATAAGCATCGCTGTGCCGAGGGGATCAAACCTGGTAGGGGTTAGAGAAGCAGCTTGTCTTTGTGTTGAAGTCAGGGCTTAGATGAGCTGTGGACTGGCGTGGTTGGTGATGTTTGCTGAGCCTTTGTTTATCTCCTTGTCAGTTCAATGACCAGCTGATCAGCCCAAAGCATTTTGTTCACCTGGCTGGGAAGTCTACCCTAAAGGACTGGAAGAGAGCCATTCGCCTCGGAGGAATCATGCTGAGGTATTTGACTTGCTCTGTCCAGCTTCAGGGCTTCATCACTGCAGCTGCAGGATCCTGAGCAGGCGTTTTGTCAGCTCTGCAGTCCCCGGGAGTTCTCTTGGAAGCTCGAGTTACCTGGCCAGCAGCCTGCAGAGATCCTGGCCCCCTGGCCTGAGGGCAGGATTCCTCATCCTGTACAGAAGTGGCCTCGCCTGGGGGACCTGGTACTTGGTGGGGGTGAAATGGGACTGGAGCCCTGGATGTGAAGCTGGGGGGTGGCTTGTATTTGTTGTTTGAAAGCCCTGAAGGAGACGTTTTTGTGTGCAGAGTGGCACTGGATCTCCCTTTCTTTGTCCTCCCCAAGGCCATAGCATTCCTGTGTGGAACACTTCCTTTTATCTCCAGGCTGAGATGTGAGCTGAGCCTGGTTCTCTCCCCACTCTCTGCACAGGAAGATGATGGACTCGGGGCAAATTGACTTCTACCAGCACGACAAAGTTTGCACCAACACGTGTCGAAGCACCAAGTTTGATCTCCTGATCAGCAGCGCCAGAGCACCTGTGCCGGGGCAGCAGAGTGTGGTGCAGACTCCTACATCAGCTGATGGTAGGAAACCAGTTAGTGATGCCACTGGAGTTTTCCTCTAACACTCCTCTCCCTCCCTGGGCTAATCAAATCAGGTTGACCTCCCTGAAAGACACTTGACACCTTCTCAGGGGAGTCCCACCATTCAGGAAGCTGCTCTGGTTTCTAGGAAGGAAAATGCTTCTTGTGTCCACTCAGAAGTCTTGGAGCATCTGTCAGGGAACTCTGCTCTGCAGTAATGGGAGGCCTGGAAGGCAGCTGGTGTTAAGCGGTGGCTAGAGACAGCCTTGGGAGCCAGGGCAGCCTCACCTTGAAGGGATTCTGGGGCTACCATGTGAGCAAACACCTGAGAGTGCAGTGTTTTCTCATGTCTTTCCTATTTGAGGGTCTATTAGAAAGACACAAGACAGGCTGGTGCTCAGGAGTGAATCCAGGGGGTGCTGGTGTCCTCCAGAGCAGCCTGCTCTGCGTCACCTGGACATCCATGAACAGGGTGTGACGGCTGGACATGATTTCATTGTCATTCCAACTGCAAATTCCCAGTGAATCCTGTGCTTCAGAACAGAAAGTGATCTCTTTGCTGAGGTTAAGGGAGGAGCCTATTCCGAACTGTACTGCATGGTTCGGCTGTGCAGGTTACATTTCTCTTAAGGCCAGGGCCTTCTCTTAAGGTGGGTGCGATGACAGACTTGTCCATAGGCGGAGGAGAATCTCCTGGAAAGCACATGGCAAAACCCTACAGTGGCTGCAGATTGGTTTAGTCCCAAGAAATTTAGGATCGAGTCAGATCTGTTTCCCTTCTCTAAACGAGCTTGGACCCTGACCCTGGCATTTCTTGAGAGATTAGAGGATCTCTAGGGTGCAGATCTCCCTGTTGATGATGCAAGGGCAGAAGGGTGGCTCTGCTGGGACTTATTTGTTCTCTTCTTTATTCCGATCCCTTTCTGCTCCTTTTATGCCAGGACTTCAGTTTGCTTTTCGGCGGGCACGTGGTTTTCCTTCCAGAAGCCCCAGAGCCTTTCACAATCACAGTTCCAACGAGAAGCAGCAATATTTGTTTGCTTTTTGCTCATTTGGTTGAAAGAAGCCAGGCACAAACAACCTGACCGCGAGAGTGGAAAAAAGAGCCTGGGAGGGGTGAGGAGGGGAGGTGGAAAGCAAAGCAGAGATTCAGGGCTGGCACTCCGGGTGCCGCAGAGAGAGCTGACGTTGCCTCTCTGGCAGGGAGCATCACCCAGATCGCGCTGTCGGAGGAGAGCATGGAGGAGGGGATTGAGTGGAACTCAGCTCTGACAGCTGCCGTCACCATGGCCACTGAGGAAGGCATGAAAAAGGACACGGATGAGATCTCCGGTAAGCTCAGGCTTCTTGCTGGGTGTTTTCTTCCCTGCTTGTTGAGTGTTTTCTTTTTGTCTCTGCACCTGTTACATTCTGGAGAATTAAATCCCAAAATTAAGGAGAGTTTAGGCGGTGACAGAGCTGTCTCCCAGCCCATTGGCTCTCCCAGCTCCTCACCGCTGCGGGCACAGGGGGACTCCAGCGCTGGACCTGTGGCTGGTGGATGATCCCCCAGATCAGTTGCTACTAGTTACAACACAGGAATTTGGTTTGGGGTTTTTTTGGGTCATTCCAAGGATGTAAATGTCTGCCAGCCTGGAGCTAAACTGAAACCACCAATGAGTGGTGTCTGTAGTAGCCCGTGTTAGTACCTCCTCAGCTCTCTCGGCTGCGTCTCCCTGGCCATGGTGCCTTGCATTCCCTCTTAGGATCAGCACAGAAGCTTAGGCACAATTTTCCTCTAACAAAGATTTTAAGCTCTGCGCCTTGAGAAGTTGTGAAATGTTGCCTTGGCGCTGCCTGAAAACGCGTTACTGATTCACAGCCTGGATCAGTTTTGCTTCTTGCAGGTTTTTTTTCACACGCCTTATCCACCCCAATGGCCAAATTAGAAGTCATCTTGCAAAGATGCTCTTGACTGACAGATTTTGGGTAGCCTTGTGGGGAAAATGCCAAATGCTTGTACGTTTTGACTTCTTTTTTCCCCTCTCATTGTGCCAGAGGACACGCTGATGTTCTGGAAAGGAATAGCTGATGTGGGGCTGATGGAAGAAGTTGTGTGCAACATCCAGAAGGAGATAGAAGAAGTCCTAAGAGGTGTCCAGCAGAGGTTGGGTCAATCTCCCTTCCAGATGACAGGTAGGTTGGGAGCCACAGCCTCTGGCTCTGCGGTGGGGAGGGATGCTCAAAAGGGCAGCTGTAGGCAAAAATTAGAATAAAAAAACGAGTGTCAAGGGTCCATCTCCAGCATTTCAAGCTGTCGAGTCGGGATGGCTCATTAGCGGAGCTGTGGGAGCTCAGTCTGGAGGTGGCCTCGGCCTGCCCGTGTGTGAAGTGCGTTTGCTTCAAGGCACAAGGACACAACAAGCCACCCTGTTCCCTCAGCCAAAAATGACCCGAGCAGCTTGCTGGGACCATCAGGCAGCTGTCCTCAGCTCCTGGCCCTCCTGAAAGCCTCTTGGACCAGAGTTATTTGAATGCTTTTCCCCATGACAGCGCAGGCTTAAACAGGTCCTGCCCCCTCACTTCTCGTTCTGTCTTCCCTTGTGCCAGAAAACCTGTTTTTGGGGCTGGACCAGATGAGGGAACCAATCTGGGTTAAAAATAACTCCTCTCCCCTCTTCCGGGTTATTTTTAACTTGGATCAGTTCCCTAATCCAGATCAGCAGATGCCCCTGTGAGCACAGGGTTTGAGAGCACCTCTTGCTGATGCTCTTGCCGGGAGAATATCCGTGTAGCCGCAAACTTCGTTTTACCCAGGATATTATGGGTTTTTTTAATTTTCAAATTTAGCTTGGGGCCGGCGGATCTTTGTGTCTCGTAGGTGGCAGCTTTTGGAAGCTGTGAGTGATTGAAGTCGGTGGATTATAATAGAAATTTTGCACAGCTTTCAGTGGAGCTGGCGTGTTAATGACACTGTCAGCAGCATGGGGTGATGATTTGTAGGTGGAGAGCTCATTTGTATCTCTGTGATTGCGAATCATGCTTTCATTTGCTGCAATTTTGAGCTGCTTGGGAGACACATCTCTGTTTCATTTTCTTTATCATGTGAATGGGACTATTTAGTCCTTGGATGTCAGAAGGATGCAGGAGCTGGGTCTGCCCTTGCCAGCCAGCCCTTGTGAAAGAACAGAGACAGTTTTATAAAAAGCAGCAGAAGATTTTATGGTGTCATCCAAGCATCTCTTGACCTGAGTCCCACACGTGGGACTAGGCAGCCATCCCCGTGCACTTCCCTTGCAGATGCTGCAGTCTTGAACAACGTCGCCCACACGTTTGGCCTCATGGACACGGTCAAAAAGGTTCTGGACAACAGGAAAAACCAAACAGAGCAAGGGGAGGAACAGTTTCTTTACACGTTGGCAGGTACAGTCAGCAGCTAGTAAGGGTCGTCCTGCTGCTGCTCTCGAGACCTGACGTGACTTTCCTGTGGCGTAGCCCCCGATGAACCAGCTTTGGGTTATTGTTCAGCAAGTGCTGTCCCAAAGAAAATGCATCCCCATCCTTGCATGGAATTTCCCCTCTCCTCAGCCTCGAAGTGAGCAGTTGCTTGGGGCAGCTGACAGCCTGTCCCCTTTCCTGCAGCCGAGGTGTGAGGTCGATCCCGTTGGCATTAGGAAAGAGGCCCTGCTAGCCAGAGCAGTGCTGCAGTCATCAGAGCTGCAGACAGTGCCGGCCTGTGCCTCAGCTAATCAGCTGCTCCATGTCCAGGGGGCTGAGCTGCCTGCTTGTCCTGATGTGGAGCTATCGGGTGTCTGGCGCGGCTTCCCCTGAGCTGAAGCCAATAACCTGACCCGGATTCCCCGGAGCCGCTTGCTCCTCGCCATGTCCTGTAGGACCTGGTCTTATCTGGGATGTCCTAGTCCCCTACTGCCCTGGATGAATGAGACAACTGTGCTACTTCTGACGTCTCATGTTCACACAGACAAGGGCTGAGGGAGATGTTCTGCTCCCTGTCCCCAGTACAGGTGCTGGGCTCCTCGGGACGGGACCCAGCCCACCTCAGGAAGCAGTTCCTACTGTCTGGTGGGGCTTGTCCACTCTCTCTTAGAGGTGGGGCTAGCT